GTGAGTGTTATATGCGTATGAGATACAGAGAGAGAATTATATGAAAGATAAGAGTCTTAGAGAAAGCCCAATTTGAACGTTTAAAAGATAGGAGGGAGAGATAAATGAGAGAGTTATATATGTACTAGGAGTAACCCGTGTTTAACAATATAGTGCAATGTGAATGGTTTTAACAGAGATGTCGGTGGTCGTTAGATGAATCTATTTGAGACTGTCAGATAGACTTATTGATGAAGCATGTCCTATTTTATACTATAGATGAGAGTTGGGTGTATGGGATATATATATATATATATATATAGAGAGAGAGAGAGAGAAAGAGTTATCTGAGATATGAGAGTTTTAGAGAAAGTCCAATTAAGATTGGATCAATAATCCTCAAATAATTTGAGCCGCAAAANGAGAGTTATCTGAGATATGAGAGTTTTAGAGAAAGTCCAATTAAGATTGGATCAATAATCCTCAAATAATTTGAGCCGCAAAAAATTCAAGACAAACAATCTAAATTTCTTATTATATAATTTTTTACGTAACTGATGATGATGAGATATTGGGTATGGGCCGCCACGATCCAAAGGCCCAACAGGTCCAGGAAAACCCTCATTTGCATAATGGCACGAACGAAGCGTCCACGGCCTGTCCACACCAAAATCAGAGTGGATCAAATCCGAATGGTAAAGCCCAATAGCACCAGGAAACCTAAGGCCTGGCCTGGTCCTAATTTCACCTAGCCAAAGGACGACTCGAGATAAAAGAGCCTAGCCCAATATATGTCCCGGATCACTTCTGTGGCACCACGTGTCTTGGGAACACAGAAACCACTTCTGACACCTATGACAATCACGTACTCCTTGGAGCAGAGGGCGTTGGTGCGCATAACCATCCAGAGATCGTGGGAACAGTGGAGCTGGATGACAAAGGTTGCTACAGGACATAGGCGGGAAGACCCACAAAATCAGCAAGGAAAAAGAAGGAGCAGCAGGAAACCCTAGAAGAGTCACTATATAAATAAGGCATTGTTACCTAACAAAAGAATCAGGATCCCCATTACACTCTTGATCCCAAAATATAGCATATAAGAAAAGATAACATATTCCGTGTAAGGACCCAATATTTGCAAGACCATTGTATTCACCAAAGATTGAGTAATATACGATCTCGTATAGTAAGAGACTCCATTACAGTGGATGTAATCTTAATACTTTGGCTAAAGTGAACCACTTATATTTTGCACTTTTTTATTCTCTGAAGATTAACCTCTTGATAAGCTAAATCCACTAAAATCCCCAAAACTTTATTGACTGGCCTTGGGCCATTATTTTCGAGCACCACCAGTTGGCGCCGTCTGTGGGAATGGTTTTTATCATAATCTCTTTGAGTTTTTATTTTGATGGTTTCAACTTGAAACATGAGTAAATCTCACACCAATCCTCAAGTTCACCAAAACTTATCGAAGAACCTTCTAGTTCCCGAGGTAGACGTAGAGAATCACCCCTCAGCGGTGGACCTCACTCCGCTCAATGAGTTAGAAGCCTATCATTGAACCACGATGCAACTGATAAAGCAGAACCAAGAGTTGATGATGTGGATATAGGCACACCCGCTTCCGCAGTTTCTGCCAGCACCTCAGGAGCTTCCTCTACCTCTGACACAACATGACGTTTCCCATCAAGAACACCAAGTCCCACCTAATTGAGTCACAGAGCTCCATGAGCATAACCATTCTAGAGAGAATAACAAGAGGAGACATCTAGAGGAACATGACGAAGATGAGGCCCATCGCCAAGCTAGAGTCGCCTATCGAGAAGACAGACCCCACCCCCAGTCGGAAGCCATAGATCACCTATGGGAGCAAAGACTTCATGAGCTCCAATGAGAGCTCGAAAACATGGAAGAAATGGTTAAGGGGAAGACTCCCGACACCATGGACTCTCTAGTCCAGCAAATCGAGTCATCGTTCGCTCCTAAGATCCTCAATTTTTCTTTCCCCCAGAAGTTTCGGATGCCATCGATAGAGGCGTTCGATGGGACCAAAGATCCAGTTGATCACATGAAATAAAAATCAGATGGAACTCCAGGGGTACCTAGACCCAATCTGCTGCCGAGCTTTGTTATCACCCTCAAAGGGTCGACAATCGCTTGGTTTAATAGGTTGCAACCAACATCGATCTCCTCCTTTAGGGAGTTATCTATACAATTTGTGTCACATTTCATCGGAGTGAGGACATACAGGAAGCCTTCCTACCACCTTTTGAGCGTCAAATAAAAGCCCAACGAGTCCTTTTGGAGCTATGTGCAACGCTTCAACCAAGAGTGCCTGAAGGTAGAAAGTGTGGACGACAAATTCGCTCTTACCACCTTTATATCCGGACTCGGAGTCCAATCTAAGGACCTCCTATTTTCGATAGCCAAAAACCCTCAGGCCACCATGGCCGAAATGCTCACTAAAGCCGATAAATACATCAATGGCAAGGAGGCCATAAATGTATGAAATGTCGTGATTGGATGGTTTTCTTTTTCCCTTTCAACTAAAGCTATGTATGCAGTCAACTTTTTTTTTCCGTGGAGGCATGAATAAATGTGAAATAGCAAACTTTTGGGTCATTCACTATTATTAGTTGTATCATCATCATTATAATTATATTGTAACCTTATTGTTAATTAAACCAATATTTTTTTTATATCCTCTTCTTTTGCTGGTTACTTTAAAGAAATGATATGTTCCAATATTTTTTTTTTTATTAATTTTTATTGGTGTTTGATAGGATGGAAAGGGAATCTTTAAGTACTATACACGCGAATGAAGAAAATGTTGGAATTGAAATGGATAATGTAGTAAATATGGATGACGAAGTGGAAGAGCCCAAGGTTGGGATGATGTTTAATAACTATGAAGATTTTTTTGAATATTACACAACTTATGAGAAGCGATTGGGGTTCCCAGTTAAAAGAAGATCATTAACAAAATCAGATGACAGATAATTGAAATATATATCGGTTGCTTGTTCTCGATCAGGAAAATCATAACGCACTACGAAAAATCCTCTCAAGCCACATCCAAGCAAAAAACAGGTTGTAAGGCTAAAGTCCTAGCAGTTTTATGCCCCGAGGGAAAGTGGCGATTGAGCACTGTCATGCTTGATCACAACCATGAGATAAATCCAAGCAAAACTTGCTTTTTTCGATGCAATAGAGTAATGAAGCCACATATAAAACGAAGGCTTGAGTTGAATGACAGCGCTGGGATTAGAATAAATAAAAATTTCAACTCTTTTGTGGTTAAAACGGGTGGACACGAGAATATGTCATTTTTAGAGAAGGATTGTAGAAATTTTATTGAGAAAGTAAGGCGATTGCGACTCGGAGAAGGAGATGCTACGGAAATCCAAAACTACTTCTTGAAGATGCAAGTTGATAATGCAAATTTCTTTTATGCAATGGATTTGAATGAAGATGGACGATTAAGGAATGTATATTGGGCGGATGTAAGGAGCAGAGCAGCATATGAGGAATTTGGTGACGTTGTAACATTTGACACAACGTACTTAACAAGTAAGTATGACATGTCATTTGTTCCATTCGTTGGTGTTAACCATAATGGGCAATCGACGTTGCTTGGATGTGGTTTAATCTCCAATGAGGATACAGAGGCGTTTACTTGGTTATTTCAATCTTGGCTTGCATGCATGTCTTGGAATGCTCCAGGTGCCATAAAGACTACCTTGAAACAATTTATGGAACAGTATGAGAATGCATTGAAAAGTAAGGTGGAAAAGGAGACCCATGAAGACTGTAAGTCTTCCTCTTCACAGGTCCTATGTGTAAGTCATTATGATATGGAGAAAAAAGTTCAAAGTGTTTATACTTTTTCAAAGTTTAAAGAGTTCCAAAATGAATTGATAGGAAAGATGTATTGTGATTTAACTTTAACTAAAATTGATGGTGTGACTTCAGAGTATGAAGTAATTGAGGATAGAATGATTGAAGGGAGAACAAAGACTGCAAATTTCAAGGTTTGGTTCGATGAAAAGGATTGTGAGGTGAAGTGCAATTGTTGCATGTTTAAGTTTAGGGGAATATTATGCAGACATGCAATCAAAGTGTTAATTTGTAAGAAGATTTACTTAATTCTTGATAATTACATCTTATGACAATGGAGAAAGGATGTGAAAAGATGCCACACAAAAGTCAAAATCAGTTATGATTGTTGGAGTACCGCGCCAGAAACACTACGATATGATAAAATGTGCAATGCATTTAGTGAGATNGGATGTGAAAAGATGCCACACAAAAGTCAAAATCAGTTATGATTGTTGGAGTACCGCACCAGAAACACTACGATATGATAAAATGTGCAATGCATTTAGTGAGAATGTAGACCTGTCAACAGAATTTGAAGATAAGTGCATGGAAGTGATGGATTGGATACATGATTTGACGGTGAATCTACAAAAAAATGGTAGCAGTGGAAGTTATCAACCAACTCCCAACTTAGTTGTTCGTAAAAAACTCTAGTTGTGATACTAATGATATATTAAAGGAGAGTTAGAAGATACTTACTCCATTAGCAGTTTGAAGCAAAGGACGCCGCCCATCATTTAAAAGGGAGCAATCTAAAATGGAGCAAGTTGTTAGGAAAAAAATAAAAGAAAAGAAAAAGAGGACTTTACCACCTGGAAATCATAACCTTGAAGAAAAATGAATGAAGGTTTGAATAAAATCCTTATAATTTGTGTATGTGAAGTAATAAATTTATGTTTACAATATTTCATAATTATTCTTTATGTCTTGCAGGATTCCCCAGTGGTTGGAAGTGATGTTGTTAGTTCTGTTGATGGTCCACCCAATAGAGAAGTTGTTGATGCAAGTGGAACACAAGAGAGTATTATTATCACGGTATAAACTAGTTGGTTTTAAAAATATTCGTTGTGTTCATACTTCAAACTAATTGTTACTGTAACTACTGTTCCTAATATATTGCCCTAAACAAATGTAGGATTCACAAAGTTAACAAGTTACTAATGTTGGTATGAGTGATAGTCAGTACCCTACATTGCACTTTTGTAACGTGAGTTAATGAATATGACTTTTGTTATTGTTCTATTGATTTCGTGTGTTAAGTTGTTTATTAAGTTAGTGTATATTATTTATGACACAGAATAATTTGATCTTACTGTGGGGTGTCACTCAAAAAGGTTATCCAAACCAAGCACATGGGATAGAAAATATAGCAAATCATGCTTTCAATGAAAACCATTTCATGGTAAGCAATCTACCATAGTATCCGAAGTTATTCTCGTGCTATAACATAATGTGTAGTTAATGGTCTTTTTTTTTCGCTTATTTAGCATAATCAATATCTAGCTCCAAAGAACCAGTAAATATTCAAGAATTGCCAACTACACCTTTATCACCAACGTCTAATGGAAAATAAATTTGGTGAGTTAGAAAAATGACTTGCAAATGAAATGCCATGATTTTATTATTTTACTTGACTATTTCTTTTTTCTTTGGCAGGTCTTGAAGGATGATGGTGTAGTTGACATATGGTAGAAAAAGATATCAAGTTGTTGGGGTGAAAAAAGAGGCCAAGTTGTTGGGAGGGGCACAAGTGATGTAGGGATTGGATAAAATTAGAGCAAGAAAATTAAAAAAAATTAAGAACAATATCTTTTTAAAAATGAAGATTGTTGTGCTTTTGGCTTTTTTGTGAAATTGTTATTAGTTTGTTTTGTTTTTTTGGTGAAACTACAATGTTTTGTAATGACAATATCTGTTTTTTTATGCTCAAAGATATGATTGTGTAGACAGTTTAAATTTGCAAACTCATCTCCATCTTGAAATCTTATCTTGTCGACAATCTGTTCATGTGTAGTACCAACATATCCCCCACTTGCCATGCACAAGGCTTTCTTGCAGCAGGCTTTTAACTGCATTAAGAATCAGCTGGAGCAGTTATGCTGGCAATATTCACGGTACTGTTCAGCTAGATTCTTTCAGTTGGAGTTTTCAATTGGATTTTCTGCTTTAAACAGTCTTTTCATGTCAATTTTCACTCCATTTAGCTGGTCCATGGGCTACTAATTTTTTTTTTTTGGAGTTAAGTAATGTCTGAAGCTGTCAAATGCACTGATTCACGTTATTGGTCTGAAGATANTTTCATGTCAATTTTCACTCCATTTAGCTGGTCCATGGGCTACTATTTTTTTTTTTTGGAGTTAAGTAATGTCTGAAGCTGTCAAATGCACTAATTCACGTTATTGGTCTGAAGATGCTGCAGCTGGTTTCTTATTATTTGAGTTGGACTCTTATTTGACTTGGACTTTTATTTGAGTTGCTTCCACAGGTTTCATGGCAGCACATGTGTGTGCAACCTTGCTGGAATTCAAACTCTTTAACTCACACAGATTTAACAAATGTGCAAAGCAAAATGAAAAATTTCTAAACCTTGTAGATTGCCATCACATTCATCAAAGGGCAAAAGTAATCATTCCCCTTTCATTATTTTTGCATAAATAAAACTAAATGTGTTTACATGACAAATGTATACAATTTTGAAACCACTTCTACAGTAAAGGCTTCACCAACTACTACAATTTCACTCCAGCAATCCAATTAACAACAACACTCATACCCCACTCCAATAACAACTAGTCCCAAGACTAGACAAAGTGCGGCATTGACTCTCTTTTCCTTAATCAGAACCTAATAAATTCAAATCAACATTGTTTGAGGCAATTCATCAAACAACTTGTAGACGAAGTCTAGTTGCAAAGTATTTCAATACAAGCACGTACAAGGAAGCCAAATGACAACAACACTCATAGCCCACACCATCTTTACTAGCCAAAGTGTCGTACTCCATGGCATTGCCATCGCTCACCTTAGACTGAATACGAACAATTGAAACTCAATAACCCTGCTCTAATTTAAGGAAAATCCTTTAGGATCAATGATTTAACTTTTTTCCTGAGAATGAATGAGGGTAATCGAAACCCATTAAACCCACTTCAAGTTAAAGGAAACCCCATTTCACGCCCTACCTCTTCTTCTCAAAATATTTCAGCTTTCTTCCTGAGAATGAATAAGGGCAATCGAAACCCAATAACCCTTTTTGAATTCAAGAAAAAACCATCTCAACTCAATCAAGCGACGATTTCTTTTTTCTCCTCATATTCAACAATTAAGCATCGATAAAACACAGGTGAACAGAGACGCATACTGGAAAAGAATGGGAGGGGAGGGGTTTAATGGGTGATCCCAAATGGGTAAGAGTGACAGATTTTGATAAAATAGAGGAAAAGAAAAAGAGAGAGAAGGAAAATGAATATTCAAGATAGAAATGAGAAGCAAAACGTGAGGTGTGATGGTAAAGGGAAAGACAGATCTTCGCCCATGGGAATAGGGAAAATGATTCTGATTCTTTATTGGTTGCCTGTGAAATTGGATGCGAGAGAGTTCTACGGGAAAATGCTAAAAAATTGTCTTGTTGGAGAAGTTGCTGATGTGGCAAATTCACATCATTCGTCACATCATTAGGTCCGTATTTCAAGAAATTAAGTTTCAATAACATTACTTAAATTTTAAATAAAAATAGGACAAGTCATTATTACAGTGCCACATCATTTGATTAGTATGAAATCAAGCAAAAACCTCAATTAAATGTCTCCAACTTCTTACATTAAATAGTTTTTTTATTATTAATTTGACAGTCAAGAATATTTGAATCAATTTACACATATTTCGATATTAAATAATTTCTCAACAAAACTTTTGGCTCTTAGACAATACTATGACAAACTTAGCTTATACTCAACTTATATATGATAAGAACTTCATAAATGCATGCAACGGTAAATTATAGATGTATTTGATATAATTAATTAAGAATAATGTTATATGAATTTAAAAAATAAATTTAAAAATTATACTTGATAATCTCAATTATTAATTTTATTGTAGATCTCAGTATTTATTAGAATTTATTACTTATTTAATAATTAAAATTATCAAATTTAATTTTTAAGATAGAACAACTTAAGCAGGCGTATCTGACAGAACCTCAGCCTTAATTACAACCTTATCATCCATTTCAATCCCAATGGCTTAAACCGATGACTCCTACTCACCCTTTTGTCTTCTAGTCCAAATGGCAATTAATTCCTGTTGCTTTTTATTGCAGGAAAGCCACTTGTAATGGTGGTTTTCGCACAGCACCGCCGGAAGGGCCATGCGAATTAGCTTCATCTCCTCTATAATCCCCCTTCTTTCTCTCTCTCTCTCTCTCTCTCTCTCTCTCTCTCATGGCTACAAACAATAATGGTGCTGCTGAGACGGTAAGGTACAAAGAGTGTAGGCGCAACCACGCAGCCCATCTCGGTCGCCAAGCCATTGATGGATGCAGCGAGTTCTCGAAGAGTGGGAACGACGGAACACCAGAAGCTTTGCTTTGCGCCGCCTGTGGGTGTCATCGGAATTTTCATCGCAAGGAGGAGCAGCCACTCTCCCGCCGTCAAGAATTAAGGCACTACCTCTTTCGTTACCTTTCTGAAGCCGCTGCCGCTGGCCCTCCACCGCCGCCACCACCACCTCGTGCTTTAGATCATGCAAGACCAAACGATGTAAGATCTGAAAGGCTCGGCGAAGAGAAAACTGAGGATGGAACCCAAACTTGATTTTCCTTCGGTTAGTTTCTTTCTTCCTCCAGTCGGATGCAATATATTGATTCAGCTTTCTAATTACTTGCTTTGGATTCTCTCTCTCTCTCTCTCTCACACACACACACATACTTGGGCGGGCTAATACAAATGAGGCTTTTTATTTTTATTTAAAAATTTATTCTTTTTTTTTTAAATTAAAAGTATTATAATTTTTGTTGTGATGATCGATCTTAGGGAAGATTTTATAAATTTTAATTTCAAACAATTATAGTCTATTGATTTTAATTTTTATAGTATAATAAAAAAATATTTTGGTTTATTTTACATAATAAAATAAATCGTAATACAAAAGAAAAAAAAATTTGTATTTAGTAAAGAGTGAGTGAGAGGGAGGGCATTAGGTTACTATATAGAGAGAGAAAGAGGGAGAATAGTTGCAAATGAGTGGTGTGTTTTGGTTGATTTATTAAAATTATTTTAACACTTGGGTTTTTTTTTTTTTTGCCTAAAAGCTTAGTTTAGTATAATTTTAAGGTCTTTTTAAAAGTTGATCCACACTTGTGAATTTTTGGCAGAAGGACGGAGGCATTTTTTTTGGGACTTAAAAGACGATTAAAAGTATAAAGACTAATTTATCCTTAATAAAAAAAATAGTTATATTACAAAATGGATAGAAACAGTAAGGCGGTAACTGTAATAGTGACACAGTAATAATAACAGGAATAACAAGATAATAACAATAGCAACGACATTGTAGCAGTAACATTAACTATAGTAGTAACAGTGACACAGTAACAATAATAGTCACTGTCACAATAACATGATCACATTAACAGCGATGTCGTGCGGATGAATTGTAAGGGATGATAGTTGGAAATGAAAGTACTATAGAAGGTGACAGAGGTGGAGTATATAGTGGTGATAGATTAAACTGTAGCATGATCATAGTAACAATTATAGTCATTACCAAAATTATACGAAGCTAGACTGTAACGTAAATTAGACAGTCATAGCCCATAATTGACCCATAACCCAAGAATCGACCCACAATCCACAGACTAAGTCATAGCCCATAATTGACCTCGACTCATTATTTGTGTATTTTTTTTATTAAATGTGTTTTAGTTTTTGAGTTAGAGTAGGTGTATATATTTTTGGTGTATTAGTGTGTATATTTTTAATGTATTAGTTTGTGTGTGTTTCGGTGTATTAGTGTGTTTGTGTATGTTTGTATTTTGGTGTACTAATAATGTGTGTGTGTGTGTCTTTTGATGTACTAATGTGTCTATTAAGAATTTTAATTATTTTATGCGTTAATTGGTTTAACCCAACCCATTATAAACCAAATTCATTATAACCTATTTACTAGCTGAGTGAAAAATGAATTTAATTTATTTTAGCCCAATCCAATTTAATCCAACCCATAACTAATCAAATCTACCCATTTGCCACCCTTACTAAAGACCCAATAAGTTTGCGCCTGTCCTTATTAATAAAATAAATTATCATATTATACTTAGTTCCAATTTTCACTAATTTTAATATTATGGGTTGGATTAATGACAAACGTCGGGAAAATAAATGTTAACTTTACTTGATTTTCTTGTATTGTGTTAATGTTATATTACTATTTGTTTGGCAACGAACTTTATTCAAAATTGAAACTAACTACTAATTTAACAACAACAGTGAATTAATTAATTAAATCAATATTTCTTCAAAATTCCATAAAAAAAATCAAGAGATAAACTATTTTTATAGACATTGCCGTGGCTCCGCAATTGCAAATGTGTCAATGCTAGCAAGTTTAGTTTGGGTGAGTAATAAGCTCAATTTGTTGTAAACATCAATCCAAATAAATTCCAATTCAATAATGGTATTTGTACCGAATTTGGGGACCTAATGCCGAATTTCATTCAATGTAAAATGTATAATCCATCTTGTTCTTTTTCTTCGTGCAAATTGCTCTCAAGGAACACGGTTATACTAATGCTAACTTGGCTCCAAAGAAACAACCAAACTGTCATTCGTTCAAGCACCGAAGAAATTAATAAACCAATTGATAAAAGTATCTAAGAATAAATTAATAAAGAGAAAGAATATTGACAAAAAATGTATTAGTAAGAATTATTGATGTTGTAAAGAATCTTGGTAAAAATTATTTAACTTTTTCGGGAAAAAATAAAAAGATATACCAATAAAATAATGACAATTTTTTTAAGTTTAATTGAAATGATCGTAGAATTTGATCCAATAATACAAGAACACGTTCGTTGTATTCAATAAGATATAATTCATAACCATTATCTTGGATATAACATACAAAATGTATTGATAAGTTTGTTAGAAAATGAAATAAGAAACAATATTATTAAAAAATTTAAAGAAGTGAAATATTATTCAATCATATTTGATTGTACTCCCGATACAAGTGATCAAGAATAAATGTCTCTCATATTACGATGCGTAGATATTACAACAAGTCCAATAAAATAGAAGAATATTTTTTGGAGTTTATTAAAATAGATAATGTGAGTGAAAAATGTTTATTTGATAAACTTATAGATATAATAAGTAATTTTGAACTAGATATTAATGATGTACGAAAATAAGAATATTATAATGGATCTAATATAAAAGGAAAACATCGAGGTGTGTAAAAAAGATTTCTCAATATAAATTCTAGAGCATTTTACATACAATGTGATTGTCATAATTTAAACGTTGTATTTTGTGATATTGCAAGGCTATATCATTTTTGAAATAGTATAACATATATTTTAATTATTTTCATCTTTCATAAAATGATGAAAAATTTTACAAGATAATGTTTAAGGTTTAATTCTTAAGTTATTGTCACAAACATGTTGGGAAAATCGTGTTGAAAGTGTTAAAAAAATAAGATTTTCAGCTTCAAGAATAAGAGATATATTATAATAATTAATAAAAACTAGTGAAAATCCTAAAACAAAAGGTGAAGCTAATTGTTTAGAAACAAATGAGATTGAGAATTTTGAGTTCTTATTGAGTATGACTATTTAATATGATATTTTATTTTACGTCAATATAGTTAGTAAATATTTACAATAAAAAGATATTCATATTGATATTGCTATAGATGAATTAAAACATCGATTAAGATTCAATTTTAGTTGATTAAAATTTATATTTTTTTACTTATTAAAATTTATACTAATTAAATTCGATTTAAGTAGATTAAAATTTATTTTTTTGGTATTAAAATTTAAATCGATTAAAATTTATACCTTTTTACGTATCCATAATTTGGACCAATTAAAATTCGCATTAAAATTTGATTCGAGGAGATTAAAAATGAATTTTAATCAGCTCGAATTAAATTTTAATTGATTTGAATTTTAATATGTAAAAAAATTTATAAAATAAAAGGGGTCTCATTGAAGATATGTCTATCTAGAAGGGGTGTAGATAAACTTTTTCTTAAAATATATTATGGACAATTTAATAAAATTGTGTTCTAGTTAAGATCTTTAATCTAATAGGCTACCGGTGAAGATTTAAAAAATAAAAAAAAATATCTTTGAAGATATAATAAATTAAAAGAAACGACACCGAAATTTCTAAAAAAAAAATCTTTGAAAGGAATTGTTGTTCTGTTGACTTTTTGATGGAGCTGATGTACTCAAGAAACTTTCTTATTGTCAAGCATTAAAAATGATTGGTTAGTGCCGGCCAGAATATTTTGTTAGATTAGATTAAAATATTCGGGTTATTTAGGTTAAAATTCGGTTGGCTTGATTTTAACATGAATTCAATCTATTTTTTTTTTGTATTTATATGTGTTGACCCGTTTTTATTCATTGACTCATTTAATTTTGTGTTCGGCCTATTTATTTTATGTTCGATTCGTGTCGTGTTAAAAGATTAACAACCCTAAATAGTCATTATATAGAAATAAGATTCCTATTGGGTGGGTGGCTCCGCCGCCCCGGTGGAAAGGGGGGGGGGGGGGGGGGGGGGGGGAAAAGGGGGGGGGGGGGGGGGGGGGGGGGGGTGGGTGCCAGGCGGCAAGCAGGATTGCAGGATCTAGGGAGAGATATAGAGGGAAAAGAAACTGAGAGATGTGAGGGTGTTGGAATCATCCCGTTAACGCTATTGGGAGGCAAAGTCTAACAAGGAATGCCAGTGTTATTCTAAAAAAACAAGGGTATCCTTGAAATTTGATAAAAGCAAAAGAGATGCAAGGGACGTTGGAGGTGGTGGATATAAATAACTATAACATATTACAGAAAAAAAGAAGATAATGAGAACAATTAACACGAGTAAAATTACAATTATGCCCTCTGTTACCCAATGTGGTTGGCATGTTTTGTGTTCAGCAATAAAAAACCCAATGTTATTTGGCAAAGAGGAAAATTGCAATAGATTTTAAGATCAAAGATGTAAAGTGAGAGTTTTTTCTTTTTGAGGGGGCAGGCAAAGTGTAACTCATTGCACATTTTGAGGGGTAAATTGTTAATCAGCCTCATGAAAAGTAATTTTCTTACATGTAAGGGAAAAATTGGGAACAAAAATGTTCTGTTAACTCCATTGGAGGAAAGAATATAATCGAGGATATTGGTATTATTTCAAAAACAACAACATAAACCACAAAGTGGTGTTAGTGTAATTTGCCAAGAAAAACACAAATACAATCAAGAGTGTTATAACCTCAATGGAAGTTCCTTTCTGAAGCATAGATCCACTGTGGCACCCATTCCACGCCATATAGAAGCAAACTCAACAGCAATGTACCTAAATCACAAAAGAAATGAGTAATATAAAGAACCAACCATGCTGAACAAAATTAACATCACAGAGAGATGGAAAGTTAAGCACACACCCTCCACCAAGTATGACAACATGCTTGGGTAACTCATCCAAGCTCAAAGCCTCATCAGAAGTTATAGCCAACTCCTGAAATACCAACCCAAAAAATGTAACGGATTAATAGGAGGTGTCAAATAGGACAAGTGGTGGTTTGGGTGGGAGGGGAGGGAGAGATGGTGAAAATGAGGAAACTATGGAAGTATGACTAGTTAACCGGACCGAAGATGTTGAAAATGCAGTACAATTGAAGTTCTACTTTCTGTTCAAAAAAATTGAAGTTTTACTTGCAACCAAAAAAAGTATGTGCTAATGTTCCCAGGTAAAACGCCGCAAATAGACAGCAAACCAATTAAATTATCAAGGCATTGTTTTAATTATGATAGTTTTGTTATGTCGNAAAAAAAAAAAAAAGGGGGGGGGGGGGGGGGGGGGGGGGGGGGATGAAATGGTTGATCGCCGTAATGTACGTAATTTAAGGACCAGAGTGAGAATGGGAAGTTGAGTGGGTGTTTCAAAACTAAAGGCATAGTTGGGGAGCATCTGTTCTACCTATCCGAAAGCAAAACATGTAGTTGGACTTTTGATACCGAAGATGCTCTTCTTGGTACCAAACATTGACTCTCCGATTGTTAAATAGAAAGACTACAGTAGTGACGGCGGTTTGAATCAACAGTGCTGTACCGTAATTATTCTGCTAGTTTTGGTTATTTATTTCATCAAATTTCAATATGGTGGATTTTAACCAACATAAAGTAATGGAATGACCAAATTATAATATTTTTAATACATCAAAATGCAATATATCTCTTTTTTAAGGGTACAAAATAAAAAAAATTAAATCTTTCGGCATGCAAGTTGAGATCCCCCACTTTTTTTTGTTTTTTCAAAAGTACCGTAGACTTTTTCCTAGTGAATACCTCCTAAATTGGGGTTGGGGTTGACTATAAGATGCATCTATGCCTCTTCTTCTATAATAATCGCCCTTCCCGAATCAAAATACCTGTAAAAACAAGCGAAAATACCCATCAAAGTAAGGACAAAAGCATGGACGGAAAAGATGTGAAGCTTTTGGGCAACAAAACGAGCCAATACGTGTGGAGGATTGTGTGGGCACTGAAGTTGAAAGGCATTGAGTTCGAGTTCATTGAAGAAGATTTGTTCAATAAGAGTCCGTTGCTTCTGGAGATGAATCCTGTTCACAAGCTGATTCCTGTGCTCATTCATGGTGGAAAACCAATCTGCGAATCCCTTATCATTCTCGAATACATCGACGACACGTGGAAACATAATCCAATCTTACCGAAAGATCCTCTTCAAAGAGCCTATGCACGTTTCTGGGCTAAATTGGCCGACGAAAAGGTAAGATTATTCGACACTAAACAGTAGAAATTTCACTGAACGAACGCAGACGCGTGTTTTACAGCGATCTAGAACATGTACAATTAAATTATAGACAATTCTATGTTTTCAACGTTGACGACGAAAAGATGCTTGCCCTGGGCATGGATGTCAATGTGAGTTATCGGATAAGAGAGCACATCAGTAGGGTTGCAGGTTTTTTACCCATGCTCAAGTTCGTAGTTCATACATGGACAATAATATCTAGTGTTTTTCGTATTTTACATCTCGAAAGATTTTAAAATTTTTATTTTTTTATTTTTGAAGATTAAATTTTTCATATTGCACCATCACACAGTATCAAAGGTATCGTAATGTGATTTTTCTATTAGCTTCCATTATTTTTTCTGTTAAAAGACAACCATCACATTGACGAAAAAACTAACAGAAAAGTCAACAAAAAAGATACATTATAACATTTTTGATACATTAAAGATGTAATATAAAAAAATTATTTTTTGAGGGTATAAAATAAAAATTTTAAAATCTTTCAGGGTAAAAGATACAATTTGCCCTTCTATCTATTAAAGTTTAGTGATGACAGGTTTAATCTTAGTTCTTTATTTAGAGGGTCTAGTTAATAATGTTGTCTCCTCTTTTAACTACTTTAGCTAACCAAGCATAAATTTTTTTTTCCAATCTACACTTTATTCCATTTTTTATTTTTCATTTCACCCAAATAGCTCTCTAAATGTAGAGAGTCACGTAGCCTTTATTAATTCTTTCTCTACCTCTTTCTCGCTATCTCTATCTCTCTATATATGTTGTATTTTTTTAAAATGATTAGAAGTTAAGAAAAGTTGGGTGAAATAGTTAGTTAAAATAGAGAGTATAATTGGAGTAAATTTATAAAAATAACTAACTAAAATAAAAAAATATAATATTTANTAAAATAGAGAGTGTAATTGGAGTAAATTTATAAAAATAACTAACTAAAATAAAAAATATAATATTTATATATATTATAGAGAGCAGGGTCGGAGATACTCTGATAAAAGTATCCCATGGCAATTTAAGTGATAGAAACACAAGAAAAGTCACTTTAGTATCAATTCAATAGATTTAGGTGATGTTTGGGCATTAAAAGTTGAATATTAATATTTAAGAAATTGATTTTTTTTTAGGGTAAATTACTTACAAACCCTCCGAGCTTTGTCAATAAAACACATAAACCCCCTCAAGTATGACATATTATACTAACACCCCTTAAGATTTTTACGCATGTAACACATAAATCTCCTACCATTAAGAGTAATTTGGAACGCTGTCAAATTTTGATTACGTGAGCAAATTTAAAGAATCAAATTTTCAAAATACCCCATTGAATTGGCTAGTACTAATCCAGTTAATTCTATGTCAATTATCTACCTAATTATTTAAATAATCTATAATCAATAATTAATTATGTAAATGCAATTAATTAAGAATGTCTCAAAATAGATGCAAATTAAAAAATTCTTTTAAAAAAAGAAAAAAAAACATAGAAAAAAAATTCAAAAGCTCACTTATTTTGAAGTTCTTGCGATATATAGATTAAAATTATTGCATTTCTTTTATTGTTGTAGTTATTAGAAGGATCAGGCATAGCATTCTTTAACCGTGGAAAAGAACAAGCAAGGGGAGTTGAAATGATGGCCGAGGTACTACCACTCCTTGAACGCGAGATAGCTAAAAAGAAGTTCTTTGGAGGAGAGACGATAGGGTATGTTGATATTGTTATTGGTTGGTTTTCATATTGGTTGCAATATTCGCAAGAATTTGGTGATTTTAAGGTAATGGACTCAGCAAAATATCCTTCAATTGCTTCCTGGATGAACAACATTTTGGAAGTTTCTGTCATTAAGGAGAACCTTCCCCCACCTGATGTGATCCTCAAAGCCTCTCAAAAGTTCAGAACAATGGTTCTTGCTATGACTAGTTCTAAAACATTGTAAATATCGTGTCTATTGCACAAGTCTCGTGTTTGTATTGAGATTTGAGAAAGTGGTAAGAGTGATAAATGGTACGAGATAAATAACTTCACACCTATTCCTATCTTTCAACCCTACCTCTGTGGTTGTTTGCCTTGACATTGGAAAAATTATAGAAGTTGTCATCATTTTGGTTGAATAAAGAGCAGCTTGTTTTGTTGTAGGAAACTTGTTTCCATTTTTTATGTGTAGAAGTATTTATTATCTATTTTCTTCTAAGGGTTTGATTTCACTTTTCTCTTTGAAACTAGGATCTTGATTTCACTCAACTCTATCAACTATTGTTTGAATATATTACATTTTTTTATTACTGAAATTTGTGTATCTAAGGAAAAAATCATTGAATTAAAACATGTAGAATCTCAAAATAATCTCACATATAAAGATTTAATCAAAGATCTAAGAAAATAAAATACGAAAAACGACAAACACGTTCGAAATCTTGAATAACAAAACGATATATTATTTGAAAGCCAAAAAGGCTTCTTCCACACACCGGACTTCATTTTTGTCGCAAAACGAAAACAAACAAAGGGAATATATGTCTTTAACGATTCATACAATTGAAGAGAGAGTAAAATAATATCGTTTAAAAGGAAGAACACTCGAAAAGAGAAAAAAGTCTAGCACCAAATATTTATGGTGTCGTTTTGCTTGTTATGTACTTACAAACAGAATATCAGCCATGCAAAACATGGTTAAGAAGAGCAACAAGTTTCCATTTTTGTCGTAACCACGAAAACAAACTAATAGCTTAATTGACAATGTGAATATATGTCTTAACGACTTGAAAAAACAAAGAAAGAAAAACATAGTAAGTAAATAACAGTTGCAGAGAAAAGCCGTCAAAAAATAAAAGGAAAAATTTTAGCGCCATAAATTTATGATGTCGTTTTGTTGCTTTTGTATTTACCATCAATGCGTAATAACATGATAACACCCGCAATACGTAATCAAACACTTAATATAAGACTGCTTTGATTATTCAAATGCAACTATCTCTTTATCAAAATTAAGGTATTCATTGTCAATACTGTCAACCAAAAACAAGGCCTTGCAGCCACTTACAGATGATCATGTTATTGAAGTTAAGCTAATGAAATCGATCAGTTTAAATCACTCACCAAGACATAAATTTTTACTAGTGCTCAATCAATAATGCTAGACTAACCAAGAAATGACATAAAAAAAAAAAACTAGAGACTAAATAATGTGAATGCTAACATGATATGTAAATTTTAAATAGTAAATAAATAAAAATAAGACAAATCATTATTACAGTGCCACATCATTTGATCGGCATTGTTTGTCTTCATAATTACCCTGATGAAATCAAGCAAAAACTTCAATTAAATCTCACCAACTCCCTACATTAAATAGTTTTGCTTCTTTGTTTTTTTGGTAGATAAATTCAACTTATAAGACTTTGGAACAATTAGAGAATTACAAAAATGAAACTATTCATTTTGAACAACAAAGGGCGATTAATGAAGTCTGACAACGGGTTTTCCAACAAGCCTTACAAGGAGCTCTAGGAACTCTGAATAGTTGTTTGAACAACGAGTTACATTTACGTACCATCAGTGCCAATATTAGCATGTTGGGGGCGATGAAAGAAATAACTGATTAGTCCTTCTACTGTAGGCATTATTTTTTTTTTCAAAAAAGAATTAAAATTAAGAACTACTCATGGTAACCATTCGAGCCGACGAAATTAGTAATATTATCCGTGAACGTATTGAACAATATAATAGAGAAGTAAAGATTGTAAATACCGGTACCGTACTTCAAGTAGGTGATGGAATTGCTCGTATTCATGGTCTTGATGAAGTAATGACAGGTGAATTAGTAGAATTTGAAGAGGGTACCATAGGCATTGCTCTGAATTTGGAATACATTAGATAGTTTCTCAACACTACTTTTGGCTCTTAGACAATACCATGACTTAGGGTATGTTTGGTTGGAAGGATAAAAAATAGAAGGAATGAACTTTCCATCCATGAAGAAAGTAAATCCTTTTTCTCTTCATTTTGTTTGGTTTGATGGATGAAAAGTTTGAAGGATATCATTTCCATTGTTTGGTAGTAGAAAAAAAAAAGGAAAGGAAAGGCAAAAGTATATACTTTTAATTTACTATTATACCCTTAAATAAGAAAATAACTTTTACTATGATATAAAAATTCAAAGCATTAATTTGCTATATTATCGAATAAATATATTTCAACAAATTAATATTTTCAATTGGACCCGTATAGAAAAATGTAATTTCAGTTGGACAAGTGAAAAATATAAATGATTTTTTGTAGTGTTTAAACATGAAAGATGATTCTAGATTGTGCTGGAAAGTTTTTTTTTTTAAAAAAGTTCCAATTACTTTATTACATAAATACATTGGTTTGTATAACAAATTAGAAAAGACAAGACACTTGGAGGGTATTATAGTAAATTAGCTTAGCCCCACTCAAAGCCCACATCCTCTCTCTAGCTTTCCGCCCAAAAGTGGATGGACCGAAAATGGTGGACGAACTGAAAATGGTGGATGGATTGAAAATGGAGGACGGAAGTCTGATGTTTCCTCCCAACTTTCATTTCCATCACTTTTTTCCTTTCAAACCAAATAATGAAAAAACTTTCTTTCCTTCCTATTTTCCACCATACCAAACACACAGTTAAACTTAGCTTATACTCAACTTATATATGATATGAACTTCAGAAATGAATTCGACTATAAATTATAAATTTACTAGTTATTACCTACTTCTGAAGGCATAGAGTAATAAAAAAATGGTTAACAATAAAATTTTTTGTATTCATACTCAAAATCAAATCACAAACATATAAGAGAAAAAAAAAATTAAAGCACCGGTCGTAGCGAGGGTGAACGGTGGTACTGGTGGTGGGCGACAGTGGTGGTGGTGAGAGACTGTGATGGTTGTGGTGGGTAGCGATGACCATGGTAATGGTAGCAGTTGCGGGTAACAACAATGATGGTGGTGGTGAATTTTGGGTGACAATAGTGGTAGTAGCCACTATTAGTGATGGCGGTGGTAGATTGTGGTGGTGGCTAGTGATGATGGTGGTGGTGGCTAGTGATGATGGTGGTGGTGGGCGACGACAAATCTTTCTAGGAGACAGTGTGATGAATGGTAGTGAATGAGAATTATAGTGACAGGTGGTAGGTGGGATTGGGGTGGGGTGACAGTTGGTGGCGGCAATGGTGGGCGATGATGGGTGGTGGTGGTTGATGGTGGTAGATGTGGTGGGGTAGGTGACAGTGGTGGGCGACGACAGGTGATGATAGGTTGTGGTATTGGCTAATAAATATAAGAATAAGACAACAATGGTGGTTAGTGGTGGCTGTGGACGACGGTGGTAGCAATCCGTGGTGAATGGCGATGGTGGTGAAGGTTGTGGGAGTTACAATGGGGCAGTGGGGATGAGGTCGGGGTAGGGCAGTGGAGGTGGTAAGGGTGGCGGCGGTAAGGGTGGTGATGGTGGTGGTGGTCATTGTGGCAGAGGTGGTGATGGGGTGGTGACGATGATGGCGGTGGTGGTGATAGCAACAGGGTGGCTACAGTAATGGTGGTGGTGGTGGTGGTTGTTGTGGCAGAGGTGGTGGTGGGGTGGCGGCAGCGGCGACAGTGGTGGTACTAATGGTGATGGTGGTGGGGCTGTGGGGGTGGTGGTGGTAGTAGTGAGACAATTTCAAATACTATTTTTTTTTTAAAAGTAAGAAGTTATAAATTCTAAAACTCTTTTTAAAAAATCACCTCAAACACATCTTTAGGAAATTATTTTTTCTATTAAATTTGCAGTGTTAATATTAGCTATTGGATTAATTTTTAAGTAAAATTTAAGGAGATCTCAATCACGAAAAGTAAAAGTCATTTTGTTTATCTTTTGAAATTTAAATTGTATTATTCTTTATTTTATACTAGTTATTGTCTGTACCTAAAGACACATAATAATAAAAATTAATAAACAATAAACATATTTGTATTCATATTCAAAATCAAATTACAAACATAGAAAGAGATAAAAGAATTTAAGCATCGTTTTGTAGTGGGGGTGAGAGGTAGTGGACGACAGTGGTAATGGTAGGAGACGGTGATGTTTGTGGTGGGTGACAATAATCGTGGTGGTGGGATGGTGGCGACAGCAGCGATGGACGTGATGGTGATGGTGGTGGCATCTACGATGGCGGCNCGACGACGAAGATGGCGGTGGTGGTGGGGGGCAACGGTAGCGGTGGTGGTGGTAGAGGTAGTGGTGAGACTATTTTTTGATCGAAATAAGGCAATGCAACAATAAAATTATATAGGAAAATTTTGATTACAGTCAGATAAGAGGGAAGCCTTAAACTCGGGAAGGGGGGAGCCTAACCAATCCAAAGGAAGTGAATTGGTTAGTTTAGCAACAGCCACCCAATGAACTGTCCGATTAAAGGCTCTAATATCTTCCATAATTACATTAACCTCCCAATGGGGAACATCTTCAGTGGAACTTAATTTGATGATGCTAAGGCAGTCATTCATAATGGTAGTATTAGAGAGCAAGAGACTTTCTGCTAAAAGGCAGGCTTGGGGCACTGCCTCAGCTTTAGCAAACATAGAAGATGCAGCAGGGAAGGAAGAAGCTGCCCCAGCCAAAATATTGCCATCCATCGTACACACCACCACTCCACACACTACCCGCGATAAATTAAAATCAAAAGAACCATCACAACACACAAGAAAATCAAAATCAAGAGGAGGAGCCGCAACTTTAGAAGCCATAGAAACAGCTGGACTAGAAAGAGAAGAAGGGGAAACCCGAAGAAGGTCACTCCACAAACATTGAGCATGCAAAACAGAAGCAAAGGCATTAACAACTTCATCACAAAAAACAAAGTGATTCCTCGCCTTCCAAATGATCCAGCCCACAATTGTGACTTTTTCCAAAGCCTCAAATCTTCCATGTGCATCATCAATCTGCTCCAAGAATCCAGGTGGATCGTTGGAAAATGGAGAAAAACAAGAGCATCTCCCATCCAAAAGACAAATTCATCCCAAACCACACTCTCTTCGTCCAATCACATTCAAACAAAATATGTTCAATAGATTCAATAGCAGACTGGCAGATGGGGCAATAAGGTGAAGGACCACACTTCCTTTTAAACAAATTTTCCTTTGAAGCTAGAATATTATGATAAGCCTTCCACAAAAAATGTTTGAACTTTGGAAAAGCCATCATGTTCTATAATACTTGCCACAGTTTGTAATGAGATAGAGAAGATGAACCAAATTCCGTAAGATTCCCTGCATTCGAATAGCTCACATGGTTTCCAAATTTAACAGTATAAGTACCTTTACGCTTCGGCTACCAAATTCGTTTGTCCAAAGCACCACACTTCGATAAGGGAATAGCACAAATAGCCTGGGAGTCATCTCGAGAAATAACAGAGGTCAGCAAGGGAACATCCCATTGAGGTGGATTCAACTTAATAAAATCAACCACTTTAACAGAATTGAAATTCGGAGGTTTAGGAAAGAGAACATACAGAGACAGAGAGAGTAGAATCCACTTATCATACCAAAATCAATCCTATTACCATCACCCAGTTGCCACATGAGACTATTTCAAATACTATTTTTTAAAAAAATATTTATGAGAAATAATTTTTAGAAGTACTTTTAAAAAGTCACTCCAAATACACCCTTAGGAGGTTATTTTTCCTATTAAATTTAGGGTATTAATATTAGCCGTTAGATTAATTTTAAAGTAAAATTTAAAATGATCTCAACCGCGAATAACAAAAGTCATTTTGTTTATCTTTTGATATTTGAATTGTAATTTATTTTATTATATATACTAATTATTGTCTGTGCTTGAAGACACAAAATAATAAAAAATAGTAAACAATAAACATATTTATATTCATATTTAAAATTAAATCACAAACATAGATAAGAGATAAATGAATTTAATCATCGATTGTAGTGGGGGTGAGAGGTAATAAGCAGTAGTGGTGGGGGTGGGTGGCAAGGAGTGTGGTGGCCGAGATGGCGGTGGCGACAATGGCGGTGGCGTTGGTGGTAACGTTGGTGCTGGGGGTGGTGGTGGTGGTGACGATGGTGGCGACAATGGTAGTAGAGGTAGTGGTGAGACGATTTTAAACACTATTTTTTTTTTAAAAGTACTTATGAGAAATAATTTCAAAAAAATACTTTGAAAAAATTATTCCAAATACACCGTTAAGGTCTTACTTTTTCTATTAAACTTAGGATGTAAATATTAACCACTTTAAAGTAAAATTTAAAGCGATTTGAATCACGAAAGCAAAAGTCACTTTATTTATTTTTAAATTTGAATTATAAACTACTTTATTATAGACATTTTATATATGAATAATGCTATTTAGACCTAAAAATCTGACTTAATTTGTTGACATGATAATGTGGCAACATAAAAATCATTATATCAACACCAAATTCTAATATTTGATAGGGTCTGCAGTCAATCCAAATATCGTAGTGTATTAGATAAGTAAATTCTGTAAGAAAATTATATCCGAATAACATCGCTCTTTTATATATATATATATATTATATAGATCGAGTATAATTAATTAAATTTTAAGATAACACAACTTAAACACGCGTATCTGACAGAACTTCAGCCTTAATTACAACCTTATCATCCATTTGAGACCCAATGGCTTAAACCGATGACTCCTACTAACCCTGTAGTCTTCTAGTCCAAATGGCAATTAAGTCCTGTTGCTTTTTATTGCAGTAAAGCCACTTGTAATGTGGTTTTCGCACAGCACCGCCGGAAGAGCCATTCGAATTAGCTTCATCTCCTCTATAATACCCCTTCTCTCTCTCTCTCTCTCTCTCACTCTCTCTGTGTCATGGCTACAAACAATAATGCTGCTGCTGAGAGGGTAAGGTACAAAGAGTGTAGGCGCAACCACGCAGCCCACCTCGGTCGCCACGCCATTGATGGATGCAGCGAGTTCTCGAAGAGTGGGAACGACGGAACACCAGAAGCTTTGCTTTGCGCCGCCTGTGGGTGTCATCGGAATTTTCATCGCAAGGAGGAGCAGCCACTCTCCCGCCGTCAAGAATTAAGGCTCTACCTCTTTCGTCACCTTTCTGCAGCCGCTGCCGCCGGCCCTCCACCGCCACCACGACCACCACCACCTGGTGCGTTAGATCATGCAAGACCAAACGATGTAAGATCTCAAAGGTTCGGCGAAGGGGAAATTGAGGATGGGACTGAAACTTGATTTTCCTTCGGTTATTTTCTTTTTTCCTTCAGTGGGATGAAATATATTATATTAATTCAGCTTGCTTACTTGCTTTGGACTCTCTCTCTCTCTCACACACACACACTCACAGAGCAAAGCCATTAACCAAAGGAGCCAATCAATCAAACATCCATTTGGTAAGTTTTTCAAGTATTTTTTTGTTGTATTACTCTTAAAAAGTATCTTTTCGAGGAGCATTTTTTTTCTATATTTTTTGCATTTGTTCTTTAATCTTTTTTCAGAATTTACTTCATTTCACAATTGCGGTAATCTACACAAGTATATTATTCATGTGCTACAATATTGAATTTAGATTTTTTTTTTTTACAAATTTTCCTACCTCTAAATGATAAGGTTCAATAAGTGTGCTTAGTTGGTTACACTCATAGAATGTAAACCGTCGAAAAAATAAATCTTATATACTAAGCCATTAATACTTTTCAATAATAAAAGTCTGTGGGAGATGCTCTTATCCGGGGCATCTTTTATATGGACTTGTATTTTGAGTCTTGATTTTTGTGTTTTTGATTTCATTGTACATTTTGTGGGTAATTATCCTTGTAAATATGTTTTGTTTTAATACAATTTAACTTTTGGAATAATTAAAATAAGAGTTAATAATATTTTTTGTCCCAAAATTATGTTTGTTTTATCAGTTTAATCCTCAATGTATTAATTTTTATCAATTTTGTCTCTAAAGTATTCAATTCATGTTTAAATAATTCCTACATAGATGGACCTTTAAGTTTTTGTCATAATGATCATATATTGATAATGTGATACCATCTGGAAAAAAAAATGTTGTCGCTTCCATAAAAAAAAATTTAATGAAATATTTGATTAGAGACAAAAGTGATACGAATTAAAATTTCAAGGACTAAATTAACCTTTAACAGACTACTATGTATACTTTTGTAAACGATATAAGAAAGGAAAATATTTATCCCAAAGATATCATAGAATTTGAGTTTACAATTGTTGTTTAGCTATATAAGTGAATTGTGAACAAGTTGAGCCATTACAATGAACTAGAGCTTTTCGCAGCACATACTTCTGCAATTGCCCGTCGCAAAAGCTTTCACGACGAATTCTTTAGTTCATTGATAAAAATTAAATTTTCTTTAAATTTTCATTGATATACATTTTTGTCGTAACCACAACAACAATACGACAGTTTAATTGACCGTCTATGAGAAAGTGATTATATGTCTCAACGAAAAAAAAAAAAAAAAACAAAATTAACGGACATAGAGAAAAAGGTCGAAATAAGGAAAAAAACTCCTCCCTACAATTAAATTCATTCATAAAAAAATTGGAGTATACTAACCCCTGTACTATTTCTCGTAACACGTAGTCAAACTCTAAATATAAGGTTATAATGCTAATTCAAATTCGAATACCTCTTTGTCAAAATTGAGATACTCTTTCTCAATACTGTCAACCAAAACAGAAATGCTAGACCGATCAAATTTTGAGCTTAAATAACATGACAGTTGACTTGAACTTCTTTGATTGGTGTCATGTCATTTGGGTCCCAATAAAAACTTCAAATAATTAACTGTCATGTCATTTAGGTTTTAAATTTAATCCTTCAGTATAGTATTACTCTAACCCAAAACAAGGTCTTTGCAGCTACTGAGAGATGCTCATGTTATTGGAGTTAAGCTCATGAAATGGATCAGTTAGTTATGACCCACCGAGACATAAATTTTTACTATTGGTAAATTAATAACGCTAGACTGACCAAGAAATGAGATAAAAAAAAATAGAGTTTAAATGATGTGATAATTGATATTGTATGCAAACCTTAAATATTAAATATTAAATAAATAAAAGTGGGACAAAGAACCGTATTTTTTATCTCATTGTTTTTATTATCATAAATCATAATCACCCTGATGAAATCAAGCAAAACCTGAATTAAATCTCACCAACTGCCTACATTAAATAGTTTCTCAACACATAACTTAAAGTATTTTCAATTTTGACTTAAATTTAAATTAAAATTTGAATAAAAAAACTTAATTTGATACAAAAGACTCTAATGGAAAAACTTAAACTTAAAGAAAGAGAAATTCAAATTTAAATGAGGACAAATTTAAATTTAAAATAGAGTAAAGACGACAATTAAATCTTTAAAAGATGATAAAATCTCACTATTAAAGATTTTAAATTGTTTTAATTTGAGTAAAATAATAAATATTTCTTGATTTAGTATAAGTTTGAGGTAAAGGTTGAAGTCAATGTTTTGGACTTTTTTAGTCAAATTTAAATCTAAGTGAGGCTCGAAAATTCTGTTTGGTTCTTTTTGAAAAAAGAAATGCAACCTTCTCTCAGGTTTGTCAACTCTTGTAACCATTACGTGCAGGATGACAAGCATTTGTAACCGGCATAGCCATGCAAAGAAACACCTCTCTCTCTCTCTCTCTCTCTCTCTCCCCTTTAAGTTGCTATCACTCATACTGGTCTGCTTGCCTCTCTCCACTATCTCTTCAATTTCTCATCCCTCTACTTTAAGTTCTTCAATGGCCGGCAACAATGACGCCTATGGTGGTAGGCCTGTGACTCCTTCAAGGTACACACTGTGCTTGCGAAACCAAACAGCACGATTCAATGGCGCCAATACCCTTGATGGGTGTCACCGCAATATCCACCGAAAGGTGGTGGCAGGGCCGCCTATCCCCAACCACCAGGCCACCAGGAGCCACTTGATCCCCCACCCCGCCATCATCGCTCCTCCTCCTCCTCCTCCTCCTCTTCCATCAGCACGACTACAACCACCCATTTCACCTGAGCAGGTGGCAGGAGTGGTGGAAGAGGAGGAGGAAATGAGGGTGAAGAAGAAGGCGATGACGAAGCTAACAGAAGAACAGAAAGAGAAAATGAAGGTGTTTGCAGAGAGGAAGTTGGGTTGGAGAGTCATGAAGCATGACGAGGAAGACTTTTTCAAGTTGTGTAATGAGATCGGATTCACCCCTCCGGTGTTGAAGAATTGGATCAGCTACAACAGGCGCAAGATGGAAGCCGGACGGGCATCATCCACTCCTTGATGCCTTAGTTATTGGAAGAAAAAATATTCCATACAATGCTAATATTATATTATTATTGATAAGTGATAACACAAATTAATTATAAATTATAGATTAACTAAATCAATTTGTTGGTTTATAATTAATTAGTAGGGTTAATTACAATGAATGTCTCTAAAAATAAGGATTTTGTCTCATTTCGGTCTCCAATATTTTAATTGCATCATTTTAATTCTTAAAGTACAAATATATTTTTATGTGATCTCTCAAACAGACAATATCTAGATTACTAATAATTTTTTTATTATAAACTTGGCAAGTAATACCTAAATATGGGTAAAAAAATATTTTAGATAATTTTTGACCNGATATTGTATGCAAACCTTAAATATTAAATATTAAATAAATAAAAGTGGGACAAAGAACCGTATTTTTTATCTCATTGTTTTTATTATCATAAATCATAATCACCCTGATGAAATCAAGCAAAACCTGAATTAAATCTCACCAACTGCCTACATTAAATAGTTTCTCAACACATAACTTAAAGTATTTTTAATTTTAACTTAAATTTAAATTAACATTTGAATAAAAAAACTTAATTTGATACAAAAGATTCCAATGGAAAAACTTAAACTTAAAGAAAGAGAAATTCAAATTTAAATGAGGATAAATTTAAATTTAAAATAGAGTAAAGACGACAATTAAATCTTTAAAAGATGATAAAATCTCACTATTAAAGATTTTAAATTTTTTTAATTTGAGTAAAAAAATAAATATCTCTTAATTTAGTATAAGTTTGAGCTAAAGGTAGAAGTCAATGTTTTGGACTGTTTTAGTCAAATTTAAATCTAAGTGTGGCTCGAAAATTCTGTTTGGTTCTTTTTAAAAAAAGAAATGCAACCTTCTCTCAGGTTTGTCAACTCTTGTAACCATTACGTGCAGGATGACAAGCATTTGTAACCGGCATAGCCATGCAAAGAAACACCTCTCTCTCTCTCTCTCTCTCTCTCTCCNATTTGAGTTTACAATTGTTGTTTAGCTATATAAGTGAATTGTGAACAAGTTGAGCCATTACAATGAACTAGAGCTTTTCGCAGCACATACTTCTGCAATTGCCCGTCGTCGCAAAAGCTTTCACGACGAATTCTTGAGTTCATCGATAAAAATTAAATTTTCATTGATATACATTTTTGTCGCAACCACAACAACAATACGACAGTTTAATTGACCGTCTATGAGAAAGTGATTATATGTCTCAACGAAAAAAAAAAAACAAAATTAATGGACATAGAGAAAAAGGTCGAAATAAGGAAAAAAACTCCTCCCTACAATTAAATTCATTCATTAAAAAATTGGAGTATACTAACCCCTTTTCTATTTCTCGTAACACGTAGTCAAACTCTAAATATAAGGTTATAATGCTAATTCAAATTCGAATACCTCTTTGTCAAAATTGAGATACTCTTTCTCAATACTGTCAACCAAAACAGAAATGCTAGACCGATCAAATTTTGAGCTTAAATAACATGACAGTTGACTTGAACTTCTTTGATTGGTGTCATGTCATTTGGGTCCCAATAAAAACTTCAAATAATTAACTGTCATGTCATTTAGGTTTTAAATTTAATCCTTCAGTATAGTATTACTCTAACCCAAAACAAGGTCTTTGCAGCTACTGAGAGATGCTCATGTTATTGGAGTTAAGCTCATGAAATGGATCAGTTAGTTATGACCCACCGAGACATAAATTTTTACTATTGGTAAATTAATAACGCTAGACTGACCAAGAAATGAGATAAAAAAAAATAGAGTTTAAATGATGTGATAATTGATATTGTATGCAAACCTTAAATATTAAATATTAAATAAATAAAAGTGGGACAAAGAACCGTATTTTTTATCTCATTGTTTTTATTATCATAAATCATAATCACCCTGATGAAATCAAGCAAAACCTGAATTAAATCTCACCAACTGCCTACATTAAATAGTTTCTCAACACATAACTTAAAGTATTTTTAATTTTAACTTAAATTTAAATTAACATTTGAATAAAAAAACTTAATTTGATACAAAAGATTCCAATGGAAAAACTTAAACTTAAAGAAAGAGAAATTCAAATTTAAATGAGGATAAATTTAAATTTAAAATAGAGTAAAGACGACAATTAAATCTTTAAAAGATGATAAAATCTCACTATTAAAGATTTTAAATTTTTTTAATTTGAGTAAAAAAATAAATATCTCTTAATTTAGTATAAGTTTGAGCTAAAGGTAGAAGTCAATGTTTTGGACTGTTTTAGTCAAATTTAAATCTAAGTGTGGCTCGAAAATTCTGTTTGGTTCTTTTTAAAAAAAGAAATGCAACCTTCTCTCAGGTTTGTCAACTCTTGTAACCATTACGTGCAGGATGACAAGCATTTGTAACCGGCATAGCCATGCAAAGAAACACCTCTCTCTCTCTCTCTCTCTCTCTCTCCCCTTTAAGTTGCTATCACTCATACTGGTCTGCTTGCCTCTCTCCACTATCTCTTCAATTTCTCATCCCTCTACTTTAAGTTCTTCAATGGCCGGCAACAATGACGCCTATGGTGGTAGGCCTGTGACTCCTTCAAGGTACACACTGTGCTTGCGAAACCAAACAGCACGATTCAATGGCGCCAATACCCTTGATGGGTGTCACCGCAATATCCACCGAAAGGTGGTGGCAGGGCCGCCTATCCCCAACCACCAGGCCACCAGGAGCCACTTGATCCCCCACCCCGCCATCATCGCTCCTCCCGCTCCTCCTCCTCCTCTTCCATCAGCACGACTACAACCACCCATTTCACCTGAGCAGGTGGCAGGAGTGGTGGAAGAGGAGGAGGAAATGAGGGTGAAGAAGAAGGCGATGACGAAGCTAACAGAAGAACAGAAAGAGAAAATGAAGGTGTTTGCAGAGAGGAGTTGGGTTGGAGAGTCATGAAGCATGACGAGGAAGACTTTTTCAAGTTGTGTAATGAGATCGGATTCACCCCTCCGGTGTTGAAGAATTGGATCAGCTACAACAGGCGCAAGATGGAAGCCGGACGGGCATCATCCACTCCTTGATGCCTTAGTTATTGGAAGAAAAAATATTCCATACAATGCTAATATTATATTATTATTGATAAGTGATAAGACAACTTAATTATAAATTATAGATTAACTAAATCAATTTGTTGGTTTATAATTAATTAGTAGGGTTAATTACAATGAATGTCTCTAAAAATAAGGATTTTGTCTCATTTCGGTCTCCAATATTTTAATTGCATCATTTTAATTCTTAAAGTACAAATATATTTTTATGTGATCTCTCAAACAGACAATATCTAGATTACTAATAATTTTTTTATTATAAACTTGGCAAGTAATACCTAAATATGGGTAAAAAAATATTTTAGATAATTTTTGACCAAATTTGTATCCAAATTTTGATCAATGAGCTATTCAAATTTTGGTCAAGAATTATATTAATTATTGTTTGTCCATATTTAGATATCACGTGACAAGTTTATGATAAAAATTTGTTAATAATTTGGATGTCGACTATTTAAAGATTTACATAGAAATATATTCAACACTTTAGAAATTAAAATAATACAATTGAAATATTATATACCAAAATAAAACAAACTTTATACATTGGGAGCCTCCAATATAATTAACCCTAATTAGTAATATCACGTATTAATAATATGATGAAATATCAATGATCTATTGATTGTTTTCTCATGAGTTTAATCTATAAGAGCAACTCCGAGGGGAGTTGCCAAAAATGGGGTGCAAAATACTATTTTGTAACTTTGAACAGTATTTTGACACCTCTGAATAGTATTTTTGTTCTAATGGTAGGTGCCAAAATGGGGTGTCATTTTAATATTTTAATATTTTTTATTAAAAAATATAATTAAACTTAGCGATTCTATTTTAACGGGCGATCGCAATTTAACGGATATATTTTTATAGTAAAAATTTAAAATTTAAAATTTCAAATAATTAAATGGTGTAATATGACAATACAAAATAATTAAATGATGTAATATGACAATACAAAAAAATTAATGGTGTAATATTACAATACAAAACAATTAATGGTGTAATTGACAATACAAAATAATTAATAGTGTAATATGACGATACAAATAATTTTGGGATAAAATGTGTCATTTCCCCTCAAATAAATAGTAGACACAATTCCTTTTCCAGACAAACCCTTCATTCTCCTTCACCTTCCATTTCAATCTGTTCCCTGTGATTCAATCCCTACCCCTCTTCCCCTAAACCTTAAACCAAATCACTCAAAATTAAAATATATATCAGTGAGACAAGGAGACAGCAACGAGACAAGGAGACAACATATACTAGTGAGACTCAACAGCTACCAGTGAAGCAAGACGATTTTCAGGCAAGCAGACACCTCCTTTCCCTTTCCCTTTCTCTATATTTTTATAGGAGTTTTGGGTTAATTATAGTCGTTGAGATTAATAGTAAACTCAACCACTCTTTTACAATCTCTTACATTCTCTCTCCAAAGTTTACAAATTTGTCACCCCAAGTACATAATTGTTGTTTTTCCACCTCAGATATCACCCCTTTTGGAGTGAATTTTTTTAATTTTGAGGTGGCATTTTAACGGTTAATGGTTTGCCACTTCATATCACACTCCCGTTAGAGTTGCTCTATGGCTGCTTTAAGAAGTCTGTACTAGGTTTCTTTCAATAATGTTGAAAAACAATACATGCATTAGGGTTTTCAATTTTTTTTTCTTATTTGTTTTTTTTTTTAAGTTCTGTTCTATTCCGTTATAACGTTATTTATGGTTTTTTTTTATTGTTTCAATTTTATAAGTATTTTTTGTTTATTACTATACAAGTGATTATGATTTGAAGATGGATAAAGTCTGACAAGACAACAATAAAAAGTTAAAAATTGAATATAAACAAATAATACTTTTACCTTTTGATGATTTTTTTTTAAAAAAAAAGAGTAGTTAAAAAT